GAGAGGAAGAAACAGTAAGCCAGCACATCATGAAGAGGAGTCCTCAGGTTCAGAACTGAACTGTACAGTTTGTTTTTGGGATTATATGGACAAATAATGCAACAGTAATTTAAACTGCAATTTGAAAAACATTTAACATTTATTATTTCTGCTGCTAAGATATCACGGCTAAATGTACAAAAATACATTAAATCCATAATTAAACATACTGAACAGGGTGTGCAAAAAAACACCAAAATTCCTAATAAGGTTGTGCTCTGCTGCCAATAGAAAGACTTACACTTCAAAGGCTCTCTTTGCATTCACACTGTCCTTGGACTTGAAAGTGTACTTTTTTTTCCTCTAAATCTCTTTTTGATCTATTTTAGTTATGATATTGTTTCAGTCCAATTTTCATTCTCTGAAAAGTGTAATTATATTGTATATTGAAATTACATTGAATAATAAGAATAAGAACATTGAATCATATAGTAATTAATGTACATTTAAATTTAATTTAATTTCTAAAACCCATTTAAATTGTCTTACTGAACAACTTCTTAAGATTCAATAATAATAATAATAATAATCCAAGAATGAAAACTGTTACACTGTTAGAGTATGTCACAACACTATATATATTTCACTATCATATGAAGAGTTTATTTGCAAAAACCGATAAACGCCACTTTAAAAAAAAAAGAGCTGATTGCCGTGCATTATTCTCCACATATAGCGCGATCTTAACCCTAAACACGTTTGGTCAAAAATGCCGGTTTTGTCCACTTTCAAGGCATCGCGAGTTCACGTTTTACTGCAGAAGCCGACAAGCGCCCTTGTTGTTTTTGAACAGAAGCAACTGCAGTTTGATTGATATTACTTGGAATGCGCAATAAAAAAACGTGATTTCTGAAAAAAAATCGTTATCGGTTTTTGCAAATGAACTCTTCATATGCATTTACATTTACATTCACAGCCTAATGTTGTTTATGCGGTTAATAGTAATCACATTATTTTATTTCAATTGATTTTGCAGGCTTGGTACTGAGGATAACATTTTGAGCACCTTGGAAACATTATTCCAGCGTATTCGCATTACAAAAATAATTCATCAGCATTCACAAGGCATCACACACTTGCCGCATTACACAATGAATCACGTCACGTCCTTTAAAGTCACCCTGTCCTGAGGATCAGTAGAACAGCGGCGATGGACTATGTTCACATACAGAGTCGTTTATCAAAGCTCTGCTGTTTCTCTTTCTGTCTCCTGCTGTCTGACTGTGCTCTGGGAACACGCTGCCTCTACCTGCAGCAAGTCAGTAAATGATGATTTATACCTCCTGCAGTCAGAAGTCACGTTTTGATAAATCGGGATGAAGTCTCAGATGTAATTTTTAGGGCCTGCAGTTGTCTGTGTGTGTCTTTGTATGGTGATAAATGGAACAGGATGGTCACTCTCTCTCCTTTTCCTTTTCTCTTGCTGACAGGATTTGGGGTCCTCTGGTGAGCACACTAAAGCAGGCAGATGCCGTTTTTTGATTGGGAACACAACTAAGTCATCTTTGGCCAGGACACCACAGCTCCCTCACTGCCACCCATGTCAGGATTAATCAGTCGGAGTGTGAGAAACATGAGGGGAATAAAGCCACCATGGGAACAACGTTCAACTCGCTCGCGCAGCATGACCCGTACCATAAACCCTGCACTGGCCACCACTGTGAACCATCTTTTTTCCGTTTATTTTTTTTCCCCCAGATTTGATTTTTCAGCCTCCCTCTCTCTGTATTAAGTTTCCAGTAACAAGCAAGTTATCTGTCTGCACTGAACACAAAACCGAGGTGTGACGCAAAACAATCAGAACCAATTAGAATGTATTCAGCGGAGAAGCAGGACTGAAAACCGATCTTCAATAACAGGTTACATTTATTCATGATAATTATCAGAATAAACAATTATTTCAGATGAAATTGTTAACTTTCTTATGGTTTCAAAGCAAAAGTGACTTTTATAGAATATATTACAGAATTATAGAATGCCATTTTACAACGGCTTCAAATGAGGCACATACAATCGGAAATTATCTGTTACATAAACGTCTATTTGCACTTTGTTTGAATGAAAAGTATCTGAATAAAGAAAAAAAAAAGATTGATAGATAAATCAATTTTCCAAATAACTGTTGTACACTAGAAAAAGATTTCTAATTTTAACGGTAAAAAAACCTACAGTAAAAACTTAATATATACAGTGAAAAACTATCTAACATGATATTTTATGCAATTTCACAGTAAATGACTGTTTAATGAACAGTTTGAACAGTCATCTTACAATTTACAGTAAAAAAAAAACAGCTACTTGATGAAATGTAATTCTCTTTTACCACTTGAATTATTACGGCGGTTATCAGTATATTATACAATTAGAAAATATATTTTATTACATTGCATGGAATATTACAATTATATCAGTTAATGAAATATACACTTTTTTTTTACCATACATTTAAGTTCAACTCTGTAAAACCTAAAACGTTGCAATCATATTTTTTTTTACAGTAGATTTTACGGAATAATTTTTTACAGTGTACTCTCTACTACTCATCACTGCTTTCCTAAAAAAATTCTACTTCCAGTGTCTCTCTTTAACAGTGTTCATGCCTATATTTCCTTCTCCGTCTATCTTCTCCCCAACAGAAATGCTATTTAAGTCGTAATCATGTGAAATCCATCCCCGCAGAGCTCTGTCAGAAGCATTCCCCCATGCTTTGTATTTTTGCTCATCAAAAACGTCATATTTTGAGAGCATGTTACTTACAGAGCAGTGTAAAGGTGGCGTCTTATTAAATTTCACTCCTTGATACTGTTTTTTTAAATGATGTTTAAACAACATTAAAATTTTGTTAATTGCACTAATTACATTTAAAAAAGTTTGGGTATGTATGTTTTTTTTTTTTAAAGAAATTAATATTTTTATTCAGCAAGGATGCATTAAATTGCTATATACATACACACACACACACACACAATATATATATATATATATATATATATATAGTATAAAATATACTATAAAACACTAAAAACTATATTAAGTATAAAACGTTTAAAATACACTACATTTTATTCCTAATATAACATATACTATAAAACATAAAAAAAATTGTATTATATTAAAGTATAAAAGTACAGCATTTTTAAGTGTATTATAAAACATTCAAAAAGTATAGTGAAAATATGTTTAAGTAGAAAAAGCTGTAATATATACTGTATAAGCTATATACATACAATATATATATATATATGTATATATATATATATATATGTAAGTTGTAATTATTGATCAAAAAAAGCTTGTATCTTGAGAAGCATATTAAAATGATTTCTGAAGGGTCATGTGACACTGAGGACTGGAGCAACAGCTGCTGAAAATTCAGCTTTCCCATCACAGAAATAAATTATATTTTAAAATATATTAAAATAGAAAACAGTTATTTTATATTCCAAATAATATTTCACAATATTACTGTTTTATTGTATTTTTTGATCAAATAAATGCAGCCTTGGAGAACATAAGAGACTTCTTAAAAAAAAAACATTACCAACCCCAAACTTTTAAACAGTTGTGTACATTTAAATTTGAATTGCAATTCTGCATCCTGTTTGCTATCTTAATTCAAATTTTAGAATTGAATTGCAATTTTGATTCGGTAAAGACATTCTTAACTCAATTCTGAATAGTAAAAGTCTATTTACATCTGGGGACAAATGTGATAAACTACATGACAATAAACGTAAGGGGGGAAAAAACTGCAAAAACAGACAAGTTAATTTTGGACCCTGCTTACAACTGAACAGAAAAAGACCTCATGCAGCAAAAGCGAAAGCAGCACACAGCACGCAAAATCTGAAAGAAATATGATGGGCGGAATGGACACACTGGTTTAGCTATGAATAATTCAAAAGAAAAAAAAACATGAAAATGTTTTGCTTAAGCACAAAAAAGCTAATGCCAATCAAGCTGGCTGTCCTATTGGTGCTATGGGACCGTGCAAGGGTATGTGCACTAATGCCAAACCAGCTCTACTTTGCAGTGAGCGACGCCCGGTGGACGTTACCTGGACAAGTGGCAGTGCAGGCACTTTTCTGGACGCTCTGGCCCTCGCAGGACGTCCCGCCGTTCAGGGGAGTGGGGTTGGTGCAACTCCGGCTCCTCTTCTGCCACCCCCGACCACAGACAGCACTGCAGGTCGACCATGTGGCCCATGTGGACCAGCCACCGTTCACTGCTCGTGCGCCCAGTGCAAAGGAAAGGGGGAAACGAACACAGCAAGTCAGGATTACCCGACAAGCACGAGGATGATAAACAGCCACAAACATGAGCTCTGTGCTTAAAGGCAGGCCACGGGGACAGCGGCAACATACGAAAGCTATGTTAAGATCAATAGTTATCAACGCTACGCTAACTCTACTGTTGATTAGAGGTAGTTATGTAGCGGCTGCCATCTCTTTTGGTTGTTTCATTCAGTCTAAATTCGTGTTCATTTGATGTTTACACAGTTTCTTTGTCAATGAAACAGCACTTATCTTACAATACCAACAAATCTTCTTCAAATGAATTATTCAGCTAGTACATAAAAAGCATTAAGAACTGAACTGAGAATTTTAAAGGGGTCATATGATGCGATTTCAATTTTTCCTTTCTCTTTGGAGTGTTACAAGCTCTTGGTGCATAAAGAAGATCTGTAAAGTTGCAAAGACTAAAGTCTCAAATCCAAAGAGATATTCTTTATAAAAGTTAAGAGTCAGCCACACCTACCTAAAACGGCTCGTTCGAACACGCCCCCACATACCTAC